GTTAACCTCTCGACAATGCAACAACAATAGAACAAGTCAGTAGCTAAGTGAATAAAAAGAGTAATGAGATGAGATAATTTCACCAATTTAATAATGGACAGCTCTTTACAAATAGTTACATAGCCTTAATGGAAAATAACAGACATGAGCCAAGCATGTTTCCCTGTAGAATGGAATAGGTTATAAGACCTCTATGATTAATTTAATTGTCAGTTCTACCAGCTCAACATTGCACATTTTAAACAGGGTTAAATATAACGTTATGGTAGATTTCAGCTTCAGTCCACAGGGGGACACTGTGTCACTGTCAGAAGATATGTGCTTAAGTCATAAAAACCGTTCTCTCATCTCTTCGGTCTCAGCTAGCTAGCCAGCCAAGCTAGCTACAGAAACAAAACCCATCCAATACACTCGCTGGAAATAAATACTTCTCCTAATATCATGAGTTACAGTATGTCAACATCCTTAGCTTGTCCATTCACTAAATATACTGTTAAATAACTCTGAGTGACACCCAATAGCTTAAGGATGCTGAGCGCTAACGCTAACTTTTTTTTTGCCTTTCTTTCAGAAGAAGTTCCGAATATCCATATTAGCTCTGTGCTATGCTGCAGGCTCAGGCGTTTTGCTGAGTTGACATCTAACCGGAGATATACTGCAGGCTCAGGCGTTTTGCTGAGTTGACATCGACATCTAACCGGAGATATACTGCAGGCTCAGGCGTTTTGCTGTGTTGACATCTAACCGGAGATATACTGCAGGCTCAGGCGTTTCGCTGTGTTGACGTCTAACCGGAGATATACTGCAGGCTCAGGCGTTTCGCTGAGTTGACGTCTAACCGGAGATATGCTGCAGGCTCAGGCGTTTTGCTGAGTGTTGACATCTAACCGGAGATATACTGCAGGCTCAGGCGTTTCGCTGAGTGTTGACATCGACGTCTAACCGGAGATATACTGCAGGCTCAGGCGTTTCGCTGAGTGTTGACATCGACGTCTAACCGGAGCTGTAGGGGTGGAGGAGGCACAGAGCTTCTAAACCCAGAGGCGCAACATCGCGACACTTCCGGGAACGCTTGTGAAAACAGACCAGGCCGGGCTTGAGAAGTTTTTATACATTTTAGAATTTGTATGTTTAGCTCAAATAATATAATTTAAAAGTATGTATTAAGGTGTCTGTAAAAGAATACACGTGGGAAAAAAACAAATGTAGACATTAATAAATGCATTTCTATAGCTTCCAAAATAAAACATTGGACGACGCTGGGCCAATTGTGCGCCGCCCCATGGGTCTCCCGGTCGCGGCCGGCTACGACAGAGCCTGGATTCGAACCAGGATCTCTAGTGGCACCACTGCGCCACTCGGGAGACCGAGTCTAGTGTATATATAAATGCCTGATCTCCAGCAGGTGACGCAGCTCTACAGTAACAAAAACACAAGATGACCAGAGCAGCTGCATGTGGGCCAAAGTGACACTTTTGTATTTAAATCATTGTAAGACACAAGATTACAAGCGTATAAATATTTTATTTAAAACAACATTTTGAACTACAATAACAGATATTATAGCTGGACCACTCATGGGTGGTGAATGCCGGTGATAATCCTCAATAGCTTATCTTTCAAGATGTACAGTGTAGCAGATACAGTATAGCATTAGTAGTCAGTACAGATACATAATAGCATTAGTAGTCAGTACAGATATGCACAGAATTGTCCAACAAAGTATACACTATTATGTTTAACATACACTGCACCATAGACATAAACACCTGATTTTCTTGTGATATTCTAATCAAGACAGTGAAATTAAGGACTCTATCCTGAAACACATCTTAATATTTCTTCATTTTACATTTATAATAAATAATAATAATATTATTATTATTATTAATAATAATTATTATTATTATTATTTTACATTTATGAATGTCAGCTGCCCATATAACATACAGTATATTATATAACACACAGTATATTTATATGCAGAGCATTATATTATTCTTTAAAACATTGACATGTGAAAGCCATCAATGTTTCTAATTAAGCAAATACATTTGTGTAAATAACCACATATAAAGAGATATTATTTTCAATTATGATAATATTGTAATTATTTACGACTGTGAGCTATATTACAATGGCAAGCCGCCAGCTAAAAAATCATGCCATTGTATAAAACTCTGAAGAGGAAATCAAGAATTCAAGCCTTCAATTTGAATGCAAATTATGACTCACTATAATAAATACAATGCCTTTTTAGACTTTGAAGTCTAATCTTTGAAGTCTGCCATTAGGTCATCTCGGAACCTAGGAGTATGTCATGACACGAGAGACTAGCTATTAGGTAATTTTCCTGCTTGGATTCCTTTGCTGTAGCAGTTCAGTTTCATGGTAGATCATACCCAGATTAAAACCTTGGGTAGCTAGCTAGCGCTGGGCCACGAAAAACACCTACAGTACATTTGAATCTCATTGTCAAACGTTCTATTCAGCTGTTATTTCCAAACCAACACACTGCTCCTCCTCCTTTACCCTCTTTCCCATGTGTCTTTGCTGAAGCAGTTCAGTTTAACTCTCTTTATTCCACTACCCCTGTTGGAGACAGTTTCTATATTTATTTGGTTATGCAAATGTTTGTTTATTAGGTATTGCTCCATTTAGAATAACTTCCATTTCATTTCTATAAAAGGTGTATACATTAATTTGGTTACGTGGTCTTGTGATTTAAATGAGAAAAGGTAAATGATGCCGTTTTAGGGGATGCAGGGCTGTGTTCCTAACAAAACAACTACCAGTGTGCTTGCTCTAGTTCCTTAACCTCACAGCTAGGAGAGCTCAAAAAATCCACCTTATAGTTAAAGACTCTTCTTTGAGTCATAAAAGTGCATTGAAATGACTTAGGATCTGTGCACACCAGTTAGTCCTCTCACACAAACCCTTGTCATTTGTTGGTCTTATGTTCCACCTAGCCCACATGTTCCAGGAATATTATTATCATGTTAGTGAATGTATCCAGAGTATTTTCAGATGTCGTTATCAACAAATGCGGCGAAAGGTACAGTAAATGTAAAATGCACATAAAATCAACAGTGTAATGTTTGGATTCAGTCTTGTCTCAGGTGAACTGTTGTGTCCTCGCCTTAAGTCTAATAACATTCCCAATATCTCTACCATAGTTATGCATATGCTTGCCATATTTCTTCTGTAAGAAACATTTAAATGTAGCCCTTCCGTATAAGCCAATTCCCATGGGTTACATTGTCCCGACACTAGGACAGTCGTGAAGAAGGCACAGCAACGCCTCTTGTCCCTCAGGAGGCTGAAACTAACTTCCCTCAGATCCTCAGGAACTTCTACAGCTGCACCATCGAGAGCATCCTGACTGGTTGTATCACCGTCTGGTATGGCAGCTGCACCGCCCGCGACCGGAAGGCCCTACAGAGGGTGGTGCGGACGGCCGAGCGCATCACTGGGGGCGAGCTCCCAGCCACCCATGAGGTACATGCCCGAAAAGCCTGAAAAAATTGCCAAAGACTCCAGCCACCTGAGACATGGACTGTTGTCCATGCTCCCTTCCGGCAGGCAGTACCAGTGCGTCACCATAGATATTTATATATCCTACCACCAGTCACCTTATATGTATAAACCCACCTCAACCACTCCAGTACCCCTGCACATTGAATAAGGTACTGACACTGACCTGTATATCCAACCACTCCAGTACCCCTGCACATTGAATAATGTACTGACCTGTATATCCAACCACTCCAGTACCCCTGCACATTGAATAAGGTACTGACACTGACCTGTATATACAACCACTCCAGTACCCCTGCACATTGAATAAGGTACTGACCTGTATATCCAACCACTCCAGTACCCCTGCACATTGAATAAGGTACTGACACTGACCTGTATATACAACCACTCCAGTACCCCTGCACATTGAATAAGGTACTGACACTGACCTGTATATACAACCACTCCAGTACCCCTGCACATTGAATAAGGTACTGACACTGACCTGTATATTCAACCACTCCAGTACCCCTGCACATTGAATAAGGTACTGACACTGACCTGTATATTCAACCACTCCAGTACCCCTGCACATTGAATAAGGTACTGACACTGACCTGTATATACAACCACTCCAGTACCCCTGCACATTGAATAAGGTACTGACACTGTCCTTTATATACAACCACTCCAGTACCCCTGCACATTGAATAAGGTACTGACACTGACCTGTATATTCAACCACTCCAGTACCCCTGCACATTGAATAAGGTACTGACACTGACCTGTACATACAACCACTCCAGTACCCCTGCACATTGAATAAGGTACTGACACTGACCTGTATATACTTGCATTCTCCTGTTTCTTTAACTCACATTGTTGTTCTTATGGGTTTTAGTCTTACTTTAAATGTTTTATTCTATTTTCTATTATTATTATTATTATTATTATTATTATTATTATCACTGCATTGTGGGAAAGAGCTCTCAATGTAAGACTGTCACTATACTATTTCACACCTGTAGTATCCTGTAGTATCCTGTGCAGGCGGCGAATAGACTTTGAAACTTGTCCCTCTTATAGTGTAGGTTGGTTACAAACCAACATCACACATTCCTTCCTCTATCTCATACTACAGACATCGTCACTAACAACGTCACTAACAACACCTCAAGACGGCAGGTAGCTTAGTGGTTAAGAGTGTTGTGCCAGTAACCGAAAGGTCGCTGGTTCTAATCCCCGAGCCGACTAAGTCAAAAATCTGTCGATGTGCCCTTGAGCAAGGCACTTAACCCTAATTGCTCTGGATAAGAGCGTCTGCTAAAATGACGTAAATGTAAATCTCTCTCGTAGTTTAAAAGCAGTATTCTCTCCCACAGCCTCTGGATCTCCGACACAACTGTCGAGGAACGCCCTGAGTCTGGCAAGCAAGACTAGAAAAGCTGTACTTCTATCACTATCTGGTTTCTCCAACATCCTCAGTAGGTCTTCAGTGTGAAGACTTTAGACAGGGGAGAGGTGGCACTAGAGTAGACGAGAAAGGATCCTGCTGTGGTGTTGAAATATTCCCAGTCCGTACAGCCGATGGTTGGGAGCCGGTGGACAGGGACAAAGCCCTCGTATCCCTGCCACCTGGAGGGACAAGCACAGCAGGACATAGGTCAAACAATTTATGTTTTCACTTCGTATTAATTGAGGTCTTTTGAGTCATTTACCACAGGAAACCGCTTACTGTAAGGACTTTTAACACAATGAAATAACAGGGTTTACCACTGTTTAAAGAGTACCTCACCTGTATATAACACTGTTTAAAGAGTATGAGGATCCATCGTGAGAATTGGCCACAACAAGGAACTTCTCTTCACCCACTGAGAAGAATTCCCAGTCCACCGCACTACGAAGATCAAAACACAACAGCTATTTTGGAGTGTAGGCCCCATGTTTGTACAATGGTTTGTTGTTCATGTGTCTGACGCATTGCCCCAAAGGGATATATAAAGTTGTTTAAATTGCATTGGAGAGCAGACAAAGAGGTAAAGAATATGTTATAAAGGATAAAAACGAGGCTTTAGAGGACAAAATGCCCTCTGATGTGGCTCAGTGGCTGACCTGTTTGTGACGATGTCCTGGAACTTGATGAAGGTCTGTGTGATGCTGTTCAGCTCGTAGATGGTTGAGTTGATGTTGTAATGACTAGGACCTCTCTCGTTCAGTTTCTGACCATTAGCCACCGCCAGGAAGTACCGATTCCCTATCTGAAACATCTCCCAGTCCGTTGCTCCCACCGTCTGCAGGGGTCAGAGGTTAAGGGTCAGGGAGAAGGATCAGGGTCAGCAAGACAGAAACAGAGAGTTTTCAGAACATACTGACCCTCGTGGACAATAATTCAACACAGTAGGAATATCTACACTGAACAAAAATATAAAACGCAACATGTAAAGTGTTGGTCCCATGTTTCATGAGCTGAAATAAAAGATCCCAGAATTTTTCCATACGCACAAAAAACGTATTTCTCTCAAATGTTGTGCACAAATTTGTTTACATCCCTGTTAGTGAGCGTTTCTCCTTTGCCAAGATAATCCATCCACCTGACAGGTGTGACATATCAAGAAGCTGATTAAACAGCATGATCATAACACAGGTGCACCTTGTGCTGGGGACAATAAAAGGCCACTTTAAAATGTGCAACACAATGCCACAGATGTCTCACGGTTTGAGGGAGCGAGCAACCACAGACCATGTGTATGGCGTGGTGTGGGTGAGCGGTTTGCTGATGTCAACGTTGTGAACATAGTGCCCTATGGTGGCGGTGGGGTTATGGTATGGGCAGGCATAAGCTACGGACAACGAACACAATTGCATTTTAACAATGGCAATTTGAATGCACAGAGATACCATGATGAGATCCTGAGGCCCATTGTCGTGCCATTCATCCGCTGCCATCAACTGATGTTTCAGCATGATAATGCACAGCCCCATGTCACAAGGATCTGTGCACAAATCCTGGAAGCTGAAAATGTCCCAGTTCTTCCATGGCCTGCATACACACCAGACATGTCACCTATTGAGCATGTTTGGGATGCTCTGGATCGACGTATATGACAGCATGTTCCAGTTCCCGCCAATATCCAGCAACCTCGCACAGCCATTGAAGAGGAGTGGGACAACATTCCACAGGCCACAATCAACAGACTGATCAACTCTATGTGAAGGAGATGTGTCGCGCTGCATGAGGAAAATGGTGGTCACACCAGATACTGACTGGTTTTCTGATCCACACCCCTACCTTCTTTTTAAGTTACCTGTGACCAACAGATGCATATCTGTATTCCCAGTCATGTGAAATCCATAGATTAGGGCTTCATGAATTAATTTCAAATGACTGAATTCCTTATATGAACTGTAACTCAGTAAAAGCTTTGAAATTGTTGCATGTTGCGTTTATATTTTTGTTCAGTGTAGTTCTGGGTTAACATTCTCCCAGATTAGCTCAGATTCATACAATGATGGAGATCGGGACATATACTGTAGAAGAGACAGCCTGAGTAATGATCGGTGGTTTCATCATGTGGTGTTAAGTACAGGATATACAGTCAGCTGCCAGGAGAAGTAGAGCAACAGTCTAATGTGATAAAGCTGTGGAGTCTCTGCCTGTATCCCAAATAGCACCCTATTCCCTATTTAATGCACTACTTTTGACCAGGGCCCATATGGAATGTAGGGATTAAAAGTGCCATTTGGGACGTACCCTCTTTGACCCACCCAAAAGAACTTGTCAAAACAGCCATGGTGGCTTCAAGCGTAACTAGCAGCGCTGGAATTCCCCCTAGCTCGGAGACCAAACGTCTTTCTGATGTCTAACATGTGGTGGAGGGGGTACAGGCTGCTGTTGATATGTACACAGGATGATAAGTGATTTAACTTGTACTTCATCATTAATTACACCCTGCTCGCTTTCAAACCGTACAGCAGAGGTAGAGGTCTATTGACACATCCTTCTATAGTCGGCTTTTAGCCTGAGTCCCAAACGGTACCCTATTCCCTATGGGCTCTGGTCCAAAGTAGTGCACTATAAAGGGAACAGGGTGCCATTTTGGACACAGGCCTAGAACCACAACAGCCTCTTGTTCAGGATTGATCTTCTGTTGGACAGCAGCCAAGGCAGCTATTCTCTCCTCACATAAACAGTCACAACAGACTGAATCCATGTAGAAAACCCAGAGCCATAAACCCAGAGCTGTGATGTTTTAGAGAGTGATATTTTAGAGAGCGATATCTTAGAGAGTAATTATGATTGCACTGAGTCAACAGGTATAGAACAGGAGGTGAAACACTGCCTGTACTTTGATAATAGAGTCTGACATAATGTAACATAATGTCATCAACAACTTTAAATCATGTACACTAAATGTCATCTATCATCACAGGATCAGAGCTAGGTCGGGAGAAGCTAGGTCACTGTGTACCTGAATGACAGGACGATTAAACCTCACTTCATCTCATCATACTCCTTTTGAGTTAACATTAATAAACCTGTTCAGAGAGAAGGTTCATACCTGTTTGGCTATGGTCGGATTAGATCAATTTCCTAAGAGGGCCATGGACAATAATGTTCTCACTTCAACTTAACTTATTGCTTTTTGAGTTTACGTTAATAATATTTTCTATGAGTAACAATGTGGGGAGCTCCACACAGCTGATGATGCTATCATACTATAAGCTCCAGAGGATAGTCGCTGAGTGAAGCCTCGACTAAGAGCCTTTGATGTCATCTCTGTCTGGCCTCTCACGCCCTGCAGCGTGCCTGACTGACTGAGGTTACAACTGGAGTTGAGGTTCACAGCCAGAGGAGCTGAGTGTCTTCTCACCTCCCAGGTTGTTCCTAGCCCTCCTCATCCTCATCCTCCTCCTCCTCCTCCTCCTCCTCCTCCTCCTCCTCCCCCTCCTCCTCCTCCTCCTCCCCCTCCTCCTCCTCCTCCTCCCCTCCTCCTCCTCCTCCTCCCCTCCTCCTCCTCCTCCTCCTCCTCCTCCTCCTCCTCCTCCTCCCCCTCCCCCCCCTCCCCCCCCTCCTCCTCCTCCTCCTCCTCCTCCTCCTCCTCCTCCTCCTCCTCCTCCTCCTCCTCCTCCTCCAGCCACAAGGGGCGACTCTCGCCTCCCATAAGTAGTGCTGAGCAATTACTGCTTTTTTGAGGTTTGGTTCGGTGTCGGTTCGGAATATTGAAAATAATCTAAATGTTTTCAATTTCGGTTTCGATTTTTATTTTATTTATGCATTATCTGGGTTCAATGCTGCAACAACACAGAATACAACTATTGATGGTAGTGACTGCCCATTACTATCACTTATAAGGCTCTAACCATCATTTATTCACATGACTTTACTTCACATAATGTTTGTTTTTAGTATGATGATGACTTTTTATTTAATTAATAAAACCCCAATGATGGTAGTGACTGTCCATTACTGCATATCACTTAATAAACCATCCTTTATTCACAATACATTACTTTAATAAAATATTTCAGTTGCTGAAGAGAGTTTTTCTCCCTCATCGTCTTCCCCATATGAACTTGTCCATTCCCTTTGGGATTATTCTGAAGAAGGCCATTGAAGGCCGAAACGTCAATCTTTTAAACTTGTCCAATAAAACTACGTATTTTTTATGGTGAGCGAGCATTGTGCCTTTTTCTGTCCAAAGTTGTTGTGTATATTAAAATTGTTTTATTTAATTACTCATTATTTTATTCCAAGTCATCATCGATCTCATCTCTACTCAGGCAGTAGCAGTCAGCCAGCCATCGATCTCATCTCTACTCAGGCAGTAGCAGTCAGCCAGCCATCGATCTCATCTCTACTCAGGCAGTAGCAGTCAGCCAGCCATCAATCTCATCTCTACTCAGGCAGTAGCAGTCAGTCAGCCAGCCATCGATCTCATCTCTACTCAGGCAGTAGCAGTCAGTCAGCCAGCCATCGATCTCATCTCTACTCAGGCAGTAGCAGTCAGCCAGCCATCGATCTCATCTCTACTCAGGCAGTAGCAGTCAGCCAGCCATCGATCTCATCTCTACTCAGGCAGTAGCAGTCAGTCAGCCATCGATCTCATCTCTACTCAGGCAGTAGCAGTCAGCCAGCCATCAATCTCATCTCTACTCAGGCAGTAGCAGCCAGCCAGCCATCGATCTCATCTCTACTCAGGCAGTAGCAGCCAGCCAGCCATCGATCTCATCTCTACTCAGGCAGTAGCAGCCAGCCAGCCATCGATCTCATCTCTACTCAGGCAGTAGCAGCCAGCCAGCCAGCCATCGATCTCATCTCTACTCAGGCAGTAGCAGTCAGCCAGCCAGCCATCGATCTCATCTCTACTCAGGCAGTAGCAGCCAGCCAGCCATCGATCTCATCTCTACTCAGGCAGTAGCAGCCAGCCAGCCATCGATCTCATCTCTACTCAGGCAGTAGCAGCCAGCCAGCCATCGATCTCATCTCTACTCAGGCAGTAGCAGCCAGCCAGCCATCGATCTCATCTCTACTCAGGCAGTAGCAGCCAGCCAGCCATCGATCTCATCTCTACTCAGGCAGTAGCAGCCAGCCAGCCATCGATCTCATCTCTACTCAGGCAGTAGCAGCCAGCCAGCCATCGATCTCATCTCTACTCAGGCAGTAGCAGCCAGCCAGCCATCGATCTCATCTCTACTCAGGCAGTAGCAGCCAGCCAGCCATCGATCTCTGTGCTCCCCAAAGTGTCATGCTTCTGACTAGCTGGCTGCCGTCTGACGAAATCACAATTTCAGTAGTTCTTCACAGTAGATAAGGGATACTTGTAACACTGTTAAATAACAACTATCAATCAATTAGATGTATTGTCGGGTAGAGACACCTAAGCAACCGCTCTCAGAACTAACTAAATGGAATTCAAGTAACTGAACCAACGTTGGTCAATTAGTTATTTAAAAAACAAAAATAAACCGACATTTCGGTTAATCGCTCAGCACTACCCATTAGTGTGACTCATGAAGGGGAGCTTCCTTTCACCTCTTCATTAGTGTGACTCATGAAGGGGAGCTTCCTTTGACCTCTTCATTAGTGTGACTCATGAAGGGGAGCTTCCTTTCACCTCTTCACATTCCTTTCCCTTTATGATGAGGACACAGCCTGCTCTCATCTGGCTGTTTTCATATCTGTTTAAATACTCTGGATTTACTCTGGCTCAAGACTAATACTAGTCAAGTCTATGGCTCACCTGGAGAGATGTCTAGAATAACCTGGACAGGGAGAAATGGAGGCCTTATACGCCCCTTGGGGCCATAGTAAATGGAGGCCTTATACACCCCTTGGGGCCATAGTAAATGATGTACTGGACAATCATCTCACCTTATTGTACTTAAGGGTCTGGAAAGAGTGAGGGAGAACAGGAACAGCCGTAGGGGGCGTGATTCTATGATCCTGCTGTGCATAGGCAAATGCTCTACTCCCTTTGCCACAAAGACCCAAGGCCTCGGACGGAGGCAATTGAACACTCCCATACGCTGTGCCTAGTGTTGCAAAATTCTGGTAACTTTCCCCAAATTCCCAAGTTTTCCAGAAATCCCGGTTGGAGGATTCCCAGATTTTCTTGCTTATTTCTGCCAAATTCCAGGGAAACTTCCAACTGTGATTTCTGGAAAACCTGGGATTTTGCAACCCTAGCTATGCCTTATAGCTACTAACTGGACCAGTGTCTCACCTTGATGTACTGAAAGGGCTGGAACATTCCTCCCAGCCAGATGTATATGGTGGAGTTGATGTCGGTGGATATTCCATCGAAGGTGTTGGCCACCACCAGGAAGTGGTATGGGCCCACAGAGAAGAACTCCCAGTCGTAGGCCCCAGACGTCTCGAGGGTCTGATTCACCTCAAACACCTTGGTCCCTGGGTTCCAACGGTAAATCACACTGTCGATGTTGTGATTGTTGTCCCCTGGAAAATACACGGACGGGATTGAACACCACGGCACAAACTGTACCTTTTCAACCTTTTAACCATTCACCAAGAAAAAATATGGCCAATAGTGTCAGTCAAAGATTGTGCCCAGCAGGTTTCTAAACACTTCTACATTCCTGTGGATGCTACCATGATTACGGATAGTCCTGAATGAATCGTGAATAATGATGAGTGAGAAAGTTACAGACGCACAAATACCATACCCCCAAGACATGCTAACCTCTCACCATTACAATAACAGGGGAGGTTAGCATTTTATATCATACCCCCAAGACATGCTAACCTCTCACCATTACAATAACAGGGGAGGTTAGCATTTTATATCATACCCCCAAGACATGCTAACCTCTCACCATTACAATAACAGGGGAGGTTAGCATTTTTTGGAGGATATGATATCATCATTATTCACGTTTCATTCAGGATTATCCGTAACCATGGTAGCATCCACATTAATGTAGAAGTGTTTAGAAATATATCATATTTTTTATTTACAATACAAGTGACTCCAAAATGAGACGATACATTATTTACCGTTCATTTCAATTGGGCAGAAAATAATCTGAAACACAACCGAAACAAACAGCAAATGCATCCAACAAGTTTGTAGAGTCACACGCTTGATGTAATCATTGCATGCTATAGGAACATGGGACCAAATACTACTTTAATACACAAAAGTTAATTTGTCCCAATACTTTTGGTCCTCTAAAATGGGGGGGGACTATGTACAAAAAGTGCTGTAATTTCTAAATGGATGAAAATACCCTCAAATTAAAAGCTGACAGTCTGCACTTTAACCTCACAGTCATTGTATCATTTCCAAATCCAAAGTGCTGGAGTACAGAGCCAAAACAACAACACATGTGTCCCTGTCCCAATACTGTTGGAGCGCGCTGTAACAGAACCCAATATAATAGCCCAGCATGTTACGCCCCAAACCCCTCCTTTCCAGTGGCGTTTTAGGACGGTTAGCTGAAGCTGAATAGTCACACTGATTTCCTTGTGCGGCCAAAACTGAACAGCACGAGCCACTAGGCTTTATGGGATATATGCTTTGACTGTTGTGAAATTGTTAGATATTACTTGTTAGATATTTCTGCACTGTCGGAGCTAGAAGCACAAGCATTTCGCTACACCCGCTATAACATCTGCTAAACATGTGTACGTGACAAATAAAATTTGATTTGATTTGATTGGAACAAAATACAAGAAAGGCTAATAGTTTGTTAACGCCATCTCCTCTAATTCGGTCAGTAACAGTCATTCAAGAAGATCTAAATGTATATTCCCTTTAAACTGATTGAGATCAATTGATTGGCATGCAGAGACAGTTTGGATATTTCACCGGTAAAACGTGAAGAATTATAATTCACAACTGACAGTGATTGTCTTTTTTAAAAGTATGTATGACTAACTTGGTGTTTGAGGGTATTAAAAAATCTACGTTGCAATTGGAGGATGTATTTTATGCATATTCTGTAATAATATTCAATAGGCTACATTTGTCGGTACTAACTTTGATTGAGAAACGATGCCGTAATTGAAACAAACACCACATACTGTAACAATGTTAAAGTAAAATGTAAAATATCTGTGAAGCTACAGACATCTGAAAACCCTTCTACCAAACTTCGTCATATACAGGCGGTATGCTTCCAGCTTTCAGCTTTGTTTTTTTTTTGTGGGTTTGGATCAGATTATCTTTGATTTTGTTATTCCTGTGACTCTTTGCATCCCATCTCAGTGCACACCCTTCCCCTCCACCTCCTTCCCCTCTCTTCATCACCCTTCCCTCCTCCCTCCCACCTCCTCCTTCCCTCCTCTCCTCTCCTTCCCTCCTCTCCTCTCCCGTCCCTCCTCACCCCTCCTTCCCTCCTCTCCTCTCCTTCCTCCACCTCTCCCTTTCCCTCCACCTCCCGTCCCCCACCTCTCCCTTCCCTCCCCTCTCCCTTCCCTCCTCTCCTCTCCTTCCCTCCACCTCTCCTTCCTCCACCTCTCCCTTCCCTCCCTCCTCTTCCCTTCTCCCCTCTCCTCTCCCTTCCCTCCACCTCGCCCTTCCCTCCCCTCTCCTCTCCCTTCCCTCCACCTCTCCCTTCCCTCCACCTCTCCCTTCCCTCCTCGCCTCTCCCTTCCCTCCACCTCCCCTCCTCCTCTCCCCCTTCCCCCCCCCCCTCCCCTTCCCTCCACCTCTCCCTTCCCTCCACCTCTCCCTTCCCTCCACCTCTCCCTTCCCTCCTCTCCTCTCCCTTCCCTCCACCTCTCCCTTCCCTCCTCCCCTCTCCCTTCCCTCCCCCTCTCCCTTCCACTCCCTCCTCTCCTCTCCCTTCCCCCTCCCCCACCTCCATCCTCTCCTCTCCCGTCTCCCTCTCCCTCCCTCCCTTCCCTCCCTCCTCCTCTCCTTCCCTCCACCTCTCCCTTCCCTCCCCCTCTCCTCCCTTCTCCTCCTCGTCTACCTCCCTTCCATCACCTCTCCTCCTCCTCTTCCCTTCCCTCTCCCCTCTCTCCTTCCTCCTCCTCTCCTCTCCACTTCCCTCCCCCCTCTCCCTTTCCCCTCCCTCCCTCCATCTCCTTCCCACCTCCCCCTCTCCCTTCCCTCCCCCTCTCCCTCCCATCCCTCCCTCTCTCCTCTCCCTTCCCTCCCTCCCTTCCTCCCTCTCCCTTCCTCCCCTCCCCCCCTCCCTCTCCCTTCCCTCCTCATCCTCCATCTCCCTTCCTCCTCCTCTCCTTCTCCCTTCCCCTCCCCCTCTCCCTTCCCTGCCTCCTCTCCCTTTCCCATCCCTCCCTCACTCTCCCTTCCCTCCCCCTCTCCCTTCCCTCCATCCTCCTCGCCCTCTCCTCCTCCTCTCCTCTCCCTTCCCGTCCACCTCTCCTTCCCTCCTCCCCTCTCCTCTCCCTCCTCATCCTACGTCCCCTTTCCTCCCCCAGACCTCTCCCTTCCCTCCTCTCCTCTCCCTTCCCTCCACCTCTCCCTTCCCGTCCTGTGAAGTTATAGTGTTCCCTCTCTTTCATTGATGAAAGCTCAAAAGGCCCATAAAGAGCCATAAAGGAGAGCTTTTCATGGATCTAACAAGACATCTAACAGTTATAGCAGAGCAACCCCCAGCAGCACAGCCAGTACACCTGCAGCAGCCAGCAGCCCCCAGCCCAGCAGCCCCCAGCCCCCAGCCCAACAACCCCCAGCCCAGCAGCCCCCAGCCCCCAGCCCAACAACCCCCCAGCCCAGTAGCCCCAGCCCCCAGCCCAGTAGCCCCCAGCCCAGCAGCCCCCAGCCCAAGCAGTAGCCCCCAGCCCAGCAGCCCCCAGCCCCCAGCCCAGTAGCCCCCAGCCCAGCAGCCCCCAGCCCCCAGCCCAGCAGCCCCAGCCCAGCAGCCCCCAGCCCAGCAGCCCCCAGCCCAGCAGACCCCAGCAGCCCCCAGCCCAGCAGCCCCCAGCCCAGCAGCCCCCAGCCAGTAGCCCCCAGCCCAGCAGCCCCCAGCCCAGAGCCCCCAGCCCCCAGCCAGCAGCCCCCAGCCCAGCAGCCCCCAGCCCAGCAGCCCCAGCCCAGCAGCCCCCAGCCCCCAGCCCAGCAGCCCCCAGCCCAGCAGCCCCCAGCCCAGCAGCCCCCAGCCCAGCAGCCCAGCAGCCCCCAGCCCAGCAGCCCCCAGCCCAGCAGCCCCCCAGCCCCCAGCCCAGTAGCCCCCAGCCCCCAGCCCCCAGCCCAGCAGCCCCCAGCCCAGCAGCCCCCAGCCCAGTAGCCCCCAGCCCCCAGCCCCAGCAGCCCCCAGCCCCCAGCCCCCAGCCCAGCAGCCCCCAGCCCCCAGCCCAGCAGCCCCCAGCCCCCAGCCCCCAGCCCAGCAGCCCCCAGCCCAGTAGCCCCCAGCCCCCAGCCCAGCAGCCCCCAGCCCCCAGCCCCCAGCCCAGCAGGCCCCCAACCCCCAGCCCAGCAGGCCCCCAGCCCCCAACCCCCAGCCCCCCCCAGCCCCCAGCCCCCAGCCCCCAGTAGCCCCTCTTACTCCATTGATGCTAGCAGAGAGACTGTGGACTGAGAGTAATCAGGGAGGTATTCTTGGTTGGGTAAATCTTACTGGTCTTTAAACATCGTATTGTAATTTGCTGAGCACAATCTTTGACTGGGATTATTGGTGGAATTTGATCCTTTCTCCCATAATCCTTCCAAAGTTTACAACACAGTCGTTATTGGCAGACAGACTGGATTGTACTTCGCCTGTCGTCTCTTATGGCAGACTGTTCGAATACATTTAGCTGGCCATCACATGCAAGATTTGGTTCTGAGTTCTGAGATGACCTGTTCTGTGATTTGCCAGGGGTACCTTACCTCGTCTGTGATTGGCCACAGCCAGGAAATGTTCTTCCTGTATGCTGAAGGCCTCCCAGTCCAGAGCACTGTGTGTCTCTATGGTCTGATAGCGAAGGAACATTAACTTCCTGCTGCTCCACTTATAGATCACTGACTCCTCCCACTCCCCACCAGGCTGGCCCTTGGAGTTAGCCACCGCTAGGAACATCTGACCAGGAGGACAATCAAGAAGAGTAGAACGGATATAATCAATAGCAGAACCAAGAGAACCTGTTGTAGAACAGAAGAGTAGAACGGATATAATCAATAGCAGAACCAAGAGAACCTGTTGTAGAACATAAGAGTAGAACCATGCAGAGGTGCATTTGGTTTGCTAACTTGCCGACCAAACCGGATCCGCACGTGCAAATGTTGATTTTGTCTATCCCCACCAGATAAGTTCACGACACGTAGGTTAAAATACCAAAACCAACTGTGAACCAATTATATTAATTTGGGGACAGGTCGAAACAGACATGAAACATTCATGGACATTTAGCTAGCTTGCTGTTGCTAGCTAATTTGTCATGGGAGATAAACATTGGGTTGTTATTTTACCTGAAATGCACATGTTCCTTTTTTTTTTGCTGGATCTTTGTAGAATTGTGACCTATTTTGAGTCATACAAAATCACGTGTTCTCTACGACAATTAATCTACATATAAAAAGTGGAAACCTAGTTAGTTTTCTTCTATTATTCTCTCCTCATTCACGACTGTAAGTCGCTTTGGATAAAAGCGTCTGCTAAATGGCTTATTATATTATATTATTCATCGTTCTTCTTCTTCTGTGGATTTTAAATGGCGGTTGGCAACCAACTTTAAGGTACATTACCGCCACCAACCTGGACCTCGTTCATCTTTCAAATCACCCACGTGGGTATATGCTATAATAATAATAATAATAATATATATGCTCCTACAAACCAATCAGTAGATGGGAGAGGCGGGACTTGCAGCTAGTCAGGCTTCTAAAAGAGAACCAAGTTCTATTTTAGTGACTGGCTACGCAGATGGCCGTTGACGCACGCCAGCAGTTTGGACGAAAATTATTGAGTAACATGTAGGTGTAAATTAATGTTGCAATGCTCGCACAGCGGCCGGTTTGGTCAGCATGTACAAAAAGTATTATTATTATTATTATTATTTTGAAATAGCCCCCCTTGTGTGCACTTCCGGTTATACCGTATACCCCCGGTATGGTAAAGAAACTGTATGAAAATCTGGATACCAGTACTGAGTCGACGTGCAGGGGTAGGATGTAATTGAGGGAGATATGTACATATAACTAGGAACAAAGTGACAGATAATAAACAGTAGCAGCAGCGTATGTGATTAATAAAAAAAAGTGAGTGCAAAAAGGGTCAATGCGGATAGTCCCGGGGAGCTATTTGGTTAACTATTTAACTAACTATTCAGCAGTCTTGCGGCTTGGGGGTAGAAGCTGTTCAGGGATCTGTTGGTTCCAGACTTGGTGCGTCGGTATCGCTCGCCGTGCGGTAGAATAGAGAATAGTCTATGACTTGGGTGGCTGGAGTCTTTGCTCTGACAACGCCTGGTCTGGCCTTGTGAATGTTAACCTGTTTAAAGGTCTTACCCACATTGGCTATGGAAGTGTCATTGCACAGTCATCCGGAACAGCTGGTGCTCTCACGTATGGTTCAGTGTTGCTTGCCTCAACGAGCATAGAAGGCATTTAGCTTGTCTGGTAAGCTTGCGTCACTAGGCAGCTCGCGGTTTCCCTTTATAATCCTTGATAGTTTGCAAGCCCTGCCACATCTGACAAGCGTCAGAGCCGGTGTAGTTGGATTTGATCTTGGTCCTGTTTTGACGCTTTGCCTGTTTGATGGTTCGTCGGAGGGCATAGCTGGCATCCGGGTTAGTCCTTGAAAGCGGCAGCTCTAGCCTTTAGCTCAGTGCGGATGTTGCCTGATATCAATGGCTTCTGGTTGGGATATGTACAGTTGAAGTCGGAAGTTTACATACACTTAGGTTGGAGTCATTAAAACTCGTTTTTCAACCACTCCACAAATTCATTGTAAACAAACTATAGTTTTGTCAAGTCGGTTAGGACATCTACTTTGTGCAGGACACAAGTAATTTTTCCAACAATTGTTTATAGACAGATTATTTCACTTATAATTCACTGCATCACAATTCCAGTGGGTCAGAAGTTTACATACACTAAGTTGACTGTGCCTTTAAACAGCTTGGAAAATTCCAGAAAATGATGTCATGGCTTTAGAAGCTTCTGATAGGCTAATTGACATCATTTAAGTCAATTGGAGGTGTACCTGTGGATGTATTTCAAGGCCTACCTTCAAACTCAGTGCCTCTTTGCTTGACATCATGGGAAAATCAAAAGAAATCAGTCAAGACCTCAGAAAAAATATTGTAGACTTCCACAAGTCTGGTTCATCCTTGGGAGCAATTTCCAAACGCCGGAAGGTACCACATTCATCTGTACAAACAATAGTACGCAAGTATAAACACCATGGGACCATGCAGCCGTCATACCACTCAGGAAGGAGACGCGTTCTGTCTCCTAGAGATGAACGTACTTTGGTGCGAAAAGTGCAAATCAATCCCAGAACAACAGCAAAGGACCTTGTGAAGATGCTGGAGGAAACAGGTACAAAAGTATCTATATCCACAGTAAAACAAGTCCTATATCGACATAACCTGAAAGGCCGCTCAGCAAGGAAGAAGCCACTGCTCCAAAACCGCCATAATAGTCCCCTGTAACTCAGTTGGTAGAGCATGGCGCTTGCAACGCCAGGGTTGTGGGTCCGTTTCCCACGGGGGGCCAGTATGAAAAAAATGTATGCACTCACTAACTAAAACAGAACTGTTTGGCCATAATGACCATCGTTATGTTTGAAGGAAAAAGGGGGTCGCTTGCAAGCCGAAGTAGAAATCTTAATCCAAATCACGTTAATATTAATGATCGCCTGTTCTGATGTCTTTTCGGTCATAGGACACGATAACGGAAACATTATGTACAACAAAAGTTACGATCAAGCAGCAACAACCACAAAAAAAAAACACACAAATAGCAGAATTAGTCAGGAGCCGTAAAACGTCCGCTATACATTCCAGTGTACTTCATACTTCGAGGGAAAATGTCAGTTCATTCACAGTCCAGTTTAATACCATCTTTCCTCACATCAAATGTAACGTAACACCATGATCAAGAAGAACAGGTGAACAACACGGTGAGTGAGAAAACACCTAATGTACGTCCAAAATGGCACCCTATTCCCCTACATAGTGCACTACTTTTAACCATGGACCAATTGGGTGCTGGGAATAGGGCGCCATTTCAGACACAACCCCAGTGATAATTACACTGCAGCAGGTATTGACAGAACAGAGACTCCCAGCTGTAATTAACTGTGAGATGACACTAAGGGGAAGTGGAGAGGCGTTAGTCATAAATCATCATAACATCAGACAAAATACATTTCTGTGATTTTTATACATGTGTGGTTTTATGAAAGTAGCACAGCAGGTCTTCAGCGCCCTCCTCCCAGGTTCCTAAACCCACATCAAAGGGCCTCTGTGTTGCAGGGACTGGGAGCAGCTGTGGACATTACACAGGTTGTGTTGTGTTTGTTCTAGGTGCAGCCTCTGTTGTTAAGAGCAGACCTGTTCCCCGTCTCCCTCATAAACAGAGGTCTGAGGAAGCTTCATCCAGATGATGTCATCACAACCAGCCATGGCCACTGGGAAAGTTTATCATGTCGAACTAGTCACTAGTCGTATTAAAGATTACTTGAATACTTTGCCTGTGTCCCAAATGGCACCCTACACTGTTTATAGTGCACTCATTTTGACCAGAGACTATACCTAGACAGGTACTCACCTTGTTGCCCACAGTGAAGTACTTCCATGCACGTGCTTCATAGGTGGTGATGTTCTGATACACTTGAAACTTCCCATCTACCCACTTGTAGATCCCAGAGCCCGGCTTGGTCTCGCGATTGGCTGTGGCAGCGAACAGTCCTTGGGAGGGGATGTGGAACACCTCGATGTCGAACGTCTCTGAGTTGGTGTAAAGGTCCTGGTAGTCTTCCACATAGTCCAGACGCTCTTTCTCTGTGCATTAGAGACTAGCGTTATTCAGTCGGTCAGTTGTGACTGATGCATCTAGGCTATAGAATAAGTGATTGTTCCTGAACACGAGACAACATTTAGACAAGGAGGAGGCTAGCCTGGAGGGCCAGAGCCAAACGACCACCTCTGGTTCTACCAATCACCTCACCAAACTTTTAATTGGCTAAATTCTTCACACCTGGTCTCCCATTGAATCAAAAACATGACATGGCCTGTGGCACTGCAGAACCAGGTTGCCTACTCCTGGTCTGAAATCTACTATTTCGGAGACTCATCTCACCTTGCAGCAGAGGCAGCCACAGCAGTCCATCACACAGGAACAGGCCTTTCTTCAGAGTGTTGAACCACAGCTGGCCCTGCTCTGCCTTGGCACAGGGAGGCTGGCTCCCAGGGGTTATATGCACTTCAGCCTCTGTCACGGAGGAGAGAGAGCATTGAGTTGAATTGATCTTGATGACGAGCTTCATAACAAGGTGAGTCTCCCTAGCTAATTGATCTTGATGACAAGGTGAGTCTCCCTAGGTAGGCAGACAGGTTGCCTCCCACATTAACAATATTCCAATATACACCGCTCCCATGTTGTCCTGGGTCTGGGATTTAAGGTGCTCTTGTTTTTAATGTCATCAATCTTTCTCATACTCTCAATCCGTTTAAAAAATGTTTGATTGTTGTAAAAGTCTGGTGACTAGATGTAATGACAGCGCCTAACCAATATTGAGATGTGATGACAGCGCCTAACCAATGGGGTTATCTTGAGTATCATCAAATATATTGATTAATTCAAGGTTATCAACCTGAGAAGTGGCAAACATTGATTGATTTAATTAATTTGATAATGAACAGTAGTAGGCTGCTCCACCTGGAGACATGACATACATAAACAATGAAGGGGGATAAAAAGCAGCATAAAGCCTGGAGTCTCATTTATCTTATTTCCATAGTGGTCCTGCCACTGCTAAACCTCGTTTTATTTCCATAGTGGTCCTGCCACTGCTAAACCTCGTTTTATTTCCATAGTGGTCCTGCCACTGCTAAACCTCGTTTTATTTCCATAGTGGTCCTGCCACTGCTAAACCTCGTTTTATTTCCATAGTGGTCCTGCCACTGCTAAACCTCGTTTTATTTCCATAGTGGTCCTGCCACTGCTAAACCTCGCTGCTGAGTGTTTTACGTTGATGTCTTGATTGGTAGCAGCAGTTGAGCTTGGGGAGCGGCCAAATCAAAATGTCAGCCTCTCACAAAGACGACTCATTGTTCTTGCCAAGACAGTGAGCGGTGAAACCACACTGAATCACTAATGATGAATGTCTGTCGGCAAGTAAACCAATAAGTACGTCTTCAATGACGGATTTCACATTCACACTCCGAGGATGACCGGACACGTCAATCAAGCTGTCTGAATGCAGTGTTTAGCTTGGATCCTATTCACAGTACTAAAGTGTGAAGCGAACAAATGAGATCTTAAATACGCAATTAGTGAGTGATCCATGTATTCATTCGGTATTGGATCCGATAGCTATACCTGACGTCGTGTAGAGTAACGTTCTGATAGTCTTCATCCTGTTAAGTCTGTGTCCCAAATGGCACAATATTAGATAAATAGTGCCCTACTTTTGACCAGAGCTCTATGGGCTCGGAAAGCATTCAGACCCCTTGACTTTTTCCACTTTTTTTTATTTTTTTACGTTACAGCCTTATTCCCTCATCAATCTGCATGCAATACCCCATAATGACAAAGTGAAAACAGATTTTTTGTTTTTATGTTTGGAAATGTATTAAAAATAAAAAACTGAAATACCTTATTTACATAAGTATTCAGGCTCTTTGCTATGAGACTTTGGAACCACCAGGACTCTTCCTAGAGCTGGCCGCCCGTCCAAACTGAGCAATCGGGGGAGAAGGGCCTTGGTCAAGGAGGTGACCAAGAACCCGATGGTCTCTCTGACAGAGCTCCAGAGTTCCTCTGTGGAGATGGGAGAACCTTCCAGAAGGACAACCATCTCTGCAGCACTCCACCAATCAGGCCCTTATGGTAGAGTGGCCAGACGGAAGCCACTCCTCAGTAAAAGGCACATGACAGCCCGCTTGGAGTTTGCCAAAAGGCACCTAAAGGACTCTCAGACCATGAGAAACAAGATTTAACTCTTTGGCCTGAATGCCAAGCTCCACGTCTGGAGGAAACCTGGCACCATCCCTACGGGGAAGCATGATGGTGGCAGCATCATGCTCTGGGGATGCTTTTCAGCGGCAGGGACTGGAAGACTAGTCAGGATCGAGGGAAAGATGAACGGAGCAAAGTACAGGGAAATCCTTGATGAAAACCTGCTCCAGAGTGCTCAGGACCTCAGACTGGTGTGAAGGTTCACCTTCCAACAGGACAACGACCCTAAGCACACAGCCAAGACAACATAGGAGTGGCTTCGGGACAAGTCTCTGAATGTCCTTGAGTGGCCCAGCCAGAGCCCGGACTTGAACCCGATCGAACATCTCTGGAGAGACCTGAAAATAGCTGTGCAGCGACGCTCCCCATCCAACCTGACAGAGCTTGAGAGGATCTGCAGAGAGGAATGGGAGAAACTCCCCAAATACAGGTGTGCCAAGCTTGTAGTGTCGTACCCAAGAAGACTTGAGGCTGTAATTGCTGCCAAAGGTGCTTCAACAAAGTACTGAGTAATAGGTCTGAATACTTATGTAAATGTTATATATTTCAGATTTGTATTTGTAATAAATTTGCTAAAATTTCTAAAAACCTGTTTTTACATTTTACATTTACATTTTAGTCATTTAGCAGATGCTCTTATCCAGAGCGACTTACAGTTAGTGAGTGCATACATTTTTTCATACTAGCCCCCCGTGGGAATCGAACCCACAACCCTGGCGTTGCAAGCGCCATGCTCTACCAACTGAGCTACTTTTGCTATTTCATTATGCTGTATTGTGTGTATATTGATGAGGGAAAAAACCCATTGAATCCATTTTAGAATAAGGCTGTAACGTAATAAAATGTGGAAAAAGTCAAGGGGTCTGAATACTTTCTGAATGCACTGTATATGGAATAGGTGATTTGAGCCTGCACCATGTTAATCAGCAGAGCTGCAGTATACACAACAGGCTAGTCCCCTCACTGTGTTTTCACATGAAACACCTGACCCTACATACCATCACAACCACAGATACAGTTACCCTGTTCACCATACCATCACAACCACTGACTCAACTCACTGATACAGTTACCCTGTTCACCATACCATCACAACCACTGACTCAACTCACAGATACAGTTACCCTGTTCACCATACCATCACAACCACTGACTCAACTCACAGATACAGTTACCCTGTTCACCATACCATCACAACCACTGACTCAACTCACTGATACAGTTACCCTGTTCACCATACCATCACAACCACTGACTCAACTCACTGATACAGTTACCCTGTTCACCATACCATCACAACCACTGACTCAACTCACTGATACAGTTACCCTGTTCACCATACCATCACAACCACTGACTCAACTCACTGATACAGTTACCCTGTTCACCATACCATCACAACCACTGACTCAACTCACTGATACAGTTACCCTGTTCACCATACCATCACAACCACTGACTCAACTCACTGATAAAGTTACCCTGTTCACCATACCATCACAACCACTGACTCAACTCACTGATACAGTTACCCTGTTCACCATACCATCACAACCACTGACTCAACTCACTGATACAGTTACCCTGTTCATCATACCATCACAACCACTGACTCAACTCACTGATACAGTTACCCTGTTCACCATACCATCACAACCACTGACTCAACTCACTGATACAGTTACCCTGTTCACCATACCATCACAACCCAACTATTTACAGCTACAACCCAACCCTAAACCCAGCCAGTCATGGAGGGACAGAGAGAATCATCCACCAGGAAGATTGTGATTGTTTTGGAGAGCTCAACGCAAAACCGTCCATAGGTCTACTCACCATACGGATACAGAGGATAGAGGGTAGTATATTATCTCTACTCACCATAAGGATACAGAGGATAGAGGGTAGTATATTATCTCTACTCACCATAAGGATACAGAGGATAGAGGGTAGTATATTATCTCTACTCACCATAAGGATAGAGGGTAGTATATTATCTCTACTCACCATAAGGATACAGAGGATAGAGGGTAGTATATCATCTCTACTCACCATAAGGATAGAGGGTAGTATATAATCTCTACTCACCATAAGGATACAGAGGGACTATGTTGTTCCCAGTGGGTGTGATGGGCATGGTGAGCAGGGCCTGAGGGACAGAGAGGACTGCCAGTATGGGGTCTGAAGAGGGACAAACTCTGGAGGTAGCGTCTGAACCAGGCAACAGAACCAGCTGTCGCAGCAGACCCTGAGAGAGAGAGAGAGAGAGAGAGAGAGAGAGAGTGAGTAACAGACCCTTTTATATATAGAGAGAGCTGATCGTTATGGGTAATGTTCCCTGCCATAGAGAGAGAGCTGTTAGTTATGGGTAATGTCCCCTGCCATAGAGAGAGCTGTTAGTTATGGGTAATGTTCCCTGCCATAGAGAGAGGAATATTAGTTATGGGTAATGTTCCACTGCCATAGAGAGAGCGGTTAGTTATGGGTAATGTTCCCCTGCCATAGAGAGAGCGGTTAGTTATGGGTAATGTCCCCTGCCATAGAGAGAGCTGTTAGTTATGGGTAATGTTCCCTGCCATAGAGAGAGGAATATTAGTTATGGGTAATGTTCCACTGCCATAGAGAGAGCGGTTAGTTATGGGTAATGTTCCCCTGCCATAGAGAGAGCGGTTAGTTATGGGTAATGTTCCCCTGCCATAGAGAGAGCTGTTAGTTATGGATAATGTTCCCTGCCATAGAGAGAGAGCTGATCGTTATGGGTAATGTTCCCCTGCCATAGAGAGAGAGCTGTTAGTTATGGGTAATGTTCCCTGCCATAGAGAGAGCTGTTAGTTATGGGTAATGTTCCCTGCCATAGAGAGAGGAATATTAGTTATGGGTAATGTTCCCCTGCCATAGAGAGAGCGGTTAGTTATGGGTAATGTTCCCCTGCCATAGAGAGAGCTGTTAGTTATGGGTAATGTTCCCCTGCCATAGAGAGAGAGCTGTTAGTTATGGGTAATGTTCCCCTGCCATAGAGAGAGAGCTGTTAGTTATGGGTAATGTTCCCCTGCCATAGAGAGAGGGATGTTAGTTATGGGTAATGTTCCCCTGCCATAGAGAGAGAGCTGTTAGTTATGGGTAATGTTCCCTGCCATAGAGAGAGGGATGTTAGTTATGGGTAATGTTCCCCTGCCATAGAGAGAGCTGTTAGTTATGGGTAATGTTCCCCTGCCATAGAGAGAGGGATGTTAGTTATGGGTAATGTTCCCCTGCCATAGAGAGAGCTGTTAGTTATGGGTAATGTTCCCCTGCCATAGAGAGAGCTGTTAGTTATGGGTAATGTTCCCCTGCCATAGAGAGAGAGCTGTTAGTTATGGGTAATGTTCCCTGCCATAGAGAGAGGGGTGTTAGTTATGGGTAATGTTCCCCTGCCATAGAGAGAGCTGTTAGTTATGGGTAATGTTCCCTGCCATAGAGAGAGCTGTTAGTTATGGGTAATGTTCCCCTGCCATAGAGAGAGCTGATAGTTATGGGTGATGTTCCCCTGCCATAGAGAGAGCTGTTAGTTATGGGTAATGTTCCCCTGCCATAGAGAGAGCTGTTAGTTATGGGTAATGTTCCCCTGCCATAGAGAGAGCTGTTAGTTATGGGTAATGTTCCCCTGCCATAGAGAGAGCTGTTAGTTATGGGTAATGTTCCCTGCCATAGAGAGAGCTGTTAGTTATGGGTAATGTTCCCCTGCCATAGAGAGAGCTGTTAGTTATGGATAATGTTCCCCTGCCATAGAGAGAGGAATATTAGTAATGGGTAATGTTCCCTGCCATAGAGAGAGCTGTTAGTTATGGGTAATGTTTCCTGCCATAGAGAGAGAGCTGTTAGTTATGGGTAATGTTCCCCTGCCATAGAGAGAGGAATATTAGTAATGGGTAATGTTCCCTGCCATAGAGAGAGCTGTTAGTTATGGGTAATGTTCCCTGCCATAGAGAGAGCTGTTAGTTATGGGTAATGTTCCCTGCCATAGAGAGAGCTGTTAGTTATGGGTAATGTTCCCTGCCATAGAGAGAGCTGTTAGTTATGGGTAATGTTCCCTGCCATAGAGAGAGCTGTTAGTTATGGGTAATGTTCCCTGCCATAGAGAGAGCTGTTAGTTATGGGTAATGTTCCCCCTGCCATAGAGAGAGCTGTTAGTTATGGGTAATGTTCCCCTGCCATAGAGAGAGCTGTTAGTTATGGGTAATGTTCCCCTGCCATAGAGAGAGCTGTTAGTTATGGGTAATGTTCCCCTGCCATAGAGAGAGAGCTGTTAGTTATGGGTAATGTTCCCCTGCCATAGAGAGAGCTGTTAGTTATGGGTAATGTTCCCCTGCCATAGAGAGAGAGCTGTTAGTTATGGGTAATGTTCCCCTGCCATAGAGAGAGAGCGGTTAGTTATGGGTAATGTTCCCCTGCCATAGAGAGAGCTGTTAGTTATGGGTAATGTTCCCCTGCCATAGAGAGAGCTGTTAGTTATGGGTAATGTTCCCCTGCCATAGAGAGAGAGCTGTTAGTTATGGGTAATGTTCCCCTGCCATAGAGAGAGAGCTGTTAGTTATGGGTAATGTTCCCCCTGCCATAGAGAGAGCTGTTAGTTTATGGGTAATGTTCCCCTGCCATAGAGAGAGCTGTTAGTTATGGGTAATGTTCCCCTGCCATAGAGAGAGAGCTGTTAGTTATGGGTAATGTTCCCCTGCCATAGAGAGAGAGCTGTTAGTTATGGGTAATGTTTCCCCTGCCATAGAGAGAGCTGTTAGTTATGGGTAATGTTCCCCTGCCATAGAGAGAGAGCTGTTAGTTATGGGTAATGTTCCCCTGCCATAGAGAGAGCTGTTAGTTATGGGTAATGTTCCCTGCCATAGAGAGAGCTGTTAGTTATGGGTAATGTTCCCTGCCATAGAGAGAGCTGTTAGTTATGGGTAATGTTCCCCTGCCATAGAGAGAGCTGTTAGTTATGGGTAATGTTCCCTGCCATAGAGAGAGAGCTGTTAGTTATGGGTAATGTTCCCTGCCATAGAGAGAGAGCTGTTAGTTATGGGTAATGTTCCCTGCCATAGAGAGAGAGCTGTTAGTTATGGGTAATGTTCCCTGCCATAGAGAGAGCTGTTAGTTATGGGTAATGTTCCCCTGCCATAGAGAGAGAGCTGTTAGTTATGGGTAATGTTCCCCTGCCATAGAGAGAGCTGTTAGTTATGGGTAATGTTCCCCTGCCATAGAGAGAGAGCTGTTAGTTATGGGTAATGTTCCCCTGCCATAGAGAGAGCTGTTAGTTATGGGTAATGTTCCCCTGCCATAGAGAGAGCTGTTAGTTATGGGTAATGTTCCCCTGCCATAGAGAGAGCTGTTAGTTATGGGTAATGTTCCCCTGCCATAGAGAGAGCTGTTAGTTATGGGTAACGTTCCCTGCCATAGAGAGAGCTGTTAGTTATGGGTAATGTTCCCCTGCCATAGAGAGAGCTGTTAGTTATGGGTAATGTTCCCTGCCATAGAGAGAGCTGTTAGTTATGGGTAATGTTCCCTGCCATAGAGAGAGCTGTTAGTTATGGGTAATGTTCCCCTGCCATAGAGAGAGCTGTTAGTTATGGGTAATGTTCCCCTGCCATAGAGAGAGCTGTTAGTTATGGGTAATGTTCCCCTGCCATAGAGAGAGCTGTTAGTTATGGGTAATGTTTCCCTGCCATAGAGAGAGCTGTTAGTTATGGGTAATGTTCCCCTGCCATAGAGAGAGCTGTTAGTTATGGGTAATGTTCCCTGCCATAGAGAGAGCTGTTAGTTATGGGTAATGTTCCCTGCCATAGAGAGAGCTGTTAGTTATGGGTAATGTTCCCCTGCCATAGAGAGAGCTGTTAGTTATGGGTAATGTTCCCTGCCATAGAGAGAGCTGTTAGTTATGGGTAATGTTCCCTGCCATAGAGAGAGCTGTTAGTTATGGGTAATGTTCCCCTGCCATAGAGAGAGGCTGTGTTTAGCCGTTCAACATGAGAATCTCTCTGGTTTACAGACAGTCGCTCTCCTCTAAGGCGTCACTGGACTAGACTGGTCCTTTGGGTTGTTTTGCTATGTGACAATGACCATGGGGCCGATTCAGACTTAGGGGATGTACGCCTTTCCTACGGCTTTCTTATGGCTTTCCTACGGCTTTCCTACGGCTTTCCTACGGCTTTCCTATGGCTTTCCTACGGCTTTCCTACGGCTTTCCTACGGCTTTCCTACGGCTTTCCTATGGCTTTCCTACGGCTTTCCTACGGCTTTCCTACACTCTTCTCTGTATTTGGTATTCAGACTTACCTTATTCAGTCACGTAACTCCCTCTGCAGGCTCTAAATACATTTCATTCAACTGCTGAAAACCCTCCCAATTTCAGTACATTGATCTTAAGCCATCCCTTTCAATACGGTGTAACTTTTAGTTAGAATTTTGACGACAGACTCAATAGACTATATCAAGAGAACGGTTTCAGAATATCAGGGATTAATGAAAGAAAGACATCTAAATATATGCATATTCGTCTCCGTTTCAGCACGAATTGGTAGATTAAAAAATACTCTGATATTGTAGATTATTTAGGTTAGTATTTATGAATCATTTAAAAAATGGTGGTTTGATTCATTTTGAAAATTGCCACATTTAGTTTTATTTTTTATTTTTTTATGTACTCTCTCTAGTTATTCAACCCATGGTAATATTGGAAGATTAGTGTACATAGAATTATAATAGGGAGCATAGTGTACATTAGTTGGCTATACCCTCATCTATTGCCTGCACTAGTGCTGAGCGATTAACCAACATTACATTTTTGGGGGGGTTATTAAACAACTAATTGAGTGATGTCGGTTCAATTACTTGAATTCCATTTAGTTCGTTTTTTTTGTGAGCCCATCCGTTTTTCTAGAGATAAATCAAATCATTCACGAAAGAAATCAAGTCAAGAACTATGCGGGACGCTGGTCTGAAGAGAGTTGTAGTTTTCATTAAGCAAACATTCAACCTGGTTCAGCTCAGAAACGTGGTAATGAACTACAATGACCATAATCCATTGCGCCAGTTTTTTCCAGCTAAAATGGATCAGAGAGGAAGAGGCAAAGCGAGAGGTTTCACTCTCGCCCAAATCTGTCCAAAATAAGCCCAATGCATTTCGATATGGTCATTTTGGACCTAAGCTTGTCGCCTGCCTTCCCGCCTTTTGGACAACAACTCCCATTGTGAGGGCGGAGACATGAGCATCTCGTTATTATATACAGATCTCTGGACGGATACACTTTTACGCCTGCTACGTTAGATTAGATACACACGGACCGCATGAGAGAGGAATGTACACAATGACCAGAGGGACAGAGACAGTTCGTGAAAGTATGGCTGATCTACTTTGAAGAACAAGTAAAATGATTGTCAGACAGCTCTGCAGCATGCTTAGGCAGGCTAGCTAAATAGGATGACTAAGACCAAACAGTATTGGAAGCACATAACGTCAGATGGTCTCCCTGGCTGACTGCTACTGCCTGAGCAGAGATGAGATGATGACTTTAAGGAATGAAAAATAATAAAGTCATTTAAAAAAACGAAGTAATATACATTGTAATTTCCTAGGTTTCTACCGAATGTGGACCTGATCAGATACAATGGAATATTTTGAATGTTTTGGCAATTCAATGTTAACTATTTTTGGCTTTGGAATCTCCATTAAAAAACTCTAAAATCATAGGAACGTCATTATTTCATATTTCATATTTATTGCATTACGTCTTTAAAAAGAAACCGAAATCGAAAACCGTGATTATTTTTTAAGTATTGGAACCCGAAACCAAACCGACCTCAAAAAGCACTAATCGCTCAGCACTAGCCTGCACTAACCATGGGACTGTGAAGACACGGCCAAGTATTGCACCATGCGTCGGGGTCACACTGTCAAGGCTTGGGATGCGCTCCATAATTATTTAATTAGCCTACATGTCTTTAATATATATACATAATCAACTGTTACTAATGATCCTCAGCAACAACCACAAAGCCATGACGGGGTTTAGAAAGGGAGCAAATGAAGGTCAACTAAACAATGTAATTAAATGGAATGATAATGTAGCCTATACCAACTGAAGGGAACTAACAATGTAATTAAATGGAATGATAATGTAGCCTATACCAACTGAAGGGAACTAACAATGTAATTAAATGGAATGATAATGTAGCCTATACCAACTGAAGGGAACTAACAATGTAATTAAATGGAATGATAATGTAGGCTGTACCAACTGAAGGGAACTAACAATGTAATTAAATGGAATGATAATGTAGCCTATACCAACTGAAGGGAACTAACAGTAAATTGGCAGTTGAATGTGTTTTTATTGACTGACGGTTGATACTGATTGTGGCTAATATTTATCATGATAGAAATAGGAAACAAAGAAAGTCGGGGTAGACTATAATTAAGACTTTCGAGAGTGCCCATCCCTGCAAGTTAAAAGGTTGGACAATTTAAATTCTGCATAATGGAACAGCATTTCATCAACTTTACTGTGGGAATGTTGATATTCTTCAGTTTGCTGCCATTTGACTTGGTTCACATTTGTCTCCAGTGATTATAAGGTAAAATAGATCTAAAACAAGTGTAATGTATATTTACAATTCCCTTATCCAAACGGATTACTAATTTACGTAGCTCTTATCACAATTACAGCGCAAGGAGAATGGTGTTATTTCTATCTGAAAAACGAAAGTTGATGCTTTTTCTACTTGGAACCGTCAGGTTCGCTTGACCTGATTCATGGTTTCCTCTCACGTAAAGGTGGTGGACTTATGAGGGAATTAAGTCAATGTCAGAATACGGCGTATCTGTAGACACACCTCCACCACACCGCCAGGGGCCGGGGGCCGGGGACCAGGGGCTGGGGGCCGGGGACCAGGGGCTGGGGGCCAGGGGCCGGGGACCGGGGGCTGGGGGCCGGGGACCAGGGGCTGGGGGCCAGGGGACCAGGGGCTGGGGGCCAGGGGACCAGGGGCTGGGGGCCAGGGGACCAGGGGCTGGGGGCCAGGGGACCAGGGGCTGGGGGCTGGGGGCTGGGGGCTGGGGGCCAGGGGGCCAGGGGACCAGGGGCTGGGGGCTGGGGGCCAGGGGACCAGGGGCCAGGGGACCAGGGGACCAGGGGCTGGCGGCCAGGGGACCAGGGGCTGGGGGCTGGGGGCTGGGGGCCAGGGGCCGGGGGCTGGGGGCTGGGGGCTGGGGGCCAGGGGACCAGGGGCTGGGGGCCAGGGGACCAGGGGCTGGGGGCCAGGGGCCGGGGGCTGGGGGCTGGGGGCCAGGGGACCGGGGGCTGGGGGCCAGGGGACCAGGGGCTGGGGGCCAGGGGACCAGGGGCTGGGGGCCAGGGGACCAGGGGACCAGGGGACCAGGGGCTGGCGGCCAGGGGACCAGGGGCTGGGGGCCAGGGGCTGGGGGCTGGGGGCTGGGGGCCGGGGACCAGGGGTCGGGGGCCAGGGGCTGGGGGCCATGGGGCCAGGGACCATGGGGCTTCAGTTCAAGGTCAGAATAGAGTAGAGAGAAAAGTGCATCAAAAAGGAATGACGTTCCATTCCTTAACTCGGGTTGGAATTCCCCCATTATGAGTTGGCAAGGCAACGCAAACAGATCTGGGGACCAGGCTTAAAGCATGCATGAGGACAATGAAGAGAGAAACTCACAGAGAACAGTCCTTTCCACCTCCTCCTGCTGCCAATGTAGAACCTGGAGTTGGCGGTGCTGAGATCACTGGGGAAAGGCTTCTCATAGACCCTGGGTGGAGAACAAAAAGCCTCATTTTAAAGAAGGGTGTCAAAGTGTGTGCGTGTGCGTGTGCGTGTGCGTGTGTGTGTGTGTGTGTGTGTGTGCGTGTTGTGCCAGTAACCAAAAGGTCGCTGGTTCTAATCCCCGAGCCGTCTAGGTGAAAAATCTGTCGATGTGCCCTTGAGCAAGGCACTTAACCCTAATTGCTCCTGTAAGTCGCTCTGGATAAGAGCGTCTGCTAAATGACTAAAATGTAAATGTAAATGTAAATGTGTGTGTGTGTGCGTGCGTGTGTGTGTGTGCGTATGTGTGTATGTATGTGTATGTGTATGTGTATGTGTATGTGTATGTGTGTGTGTGTGTGTGTGTGTATGTGTATGTGTGTGTGTGTGTGTGTGTGTGTGTGTGTGTGTGTGTGTGTGTGTGCGCGCGCGTGCGTGCGCGTGCGTGCGTGCGTGCGTGTGTGTGTGTGTGTGTGTGTGCGTGTGTGCGTGCGTGCGTGTGTACGTGTGTGTGCGTGTGCGTGTGTGTATGTGAGTGACTCACAGCTCCAGGGCCATGCCACAGTCCACACTGAGTGTAGCGTAGCGCCCGGTGATGGCTACCACCACCGTGTGCCAGTGGTTGTCCGCCAGCCGCACCTCCCTAAACGTGATTTGTTTCCTGCCTGTCGGGCCCTGGAACAGGAAGTGGAGCCTCTCCTGAGAGACACGTAGACCAATCAGCAGCCGGTCTGACTCCTCCTCCACCAACGAGAAGATGTACTCGTTCCTCTGGAGGACAGGAGACAGGACATACAGTATGAAGGAGAGACACTGACCAACAGGACAGATACACTGAGGGAGAGATACTGACCAACAGGACAGATACACTGAGGGAGAGATACTGACCAACATGACAGATACACTGAGGGAGAGACACTGACCAACAGGACAGATACACTGAGGGAGAGATACTGACCAACAGGACAGATACACCCAGGATACACTGAGGGAGAGATACTGACCAACAGGACAGATACACTGAGGGAGAGATACTGACCACCAGGACAGATACACTGAGGGAGAGACACTGACCAACAGGACAGATACACTGAGGGAGAGATACTGACCAACAGGACAGATACACCCAGGATACACTGAGGGAGAGATACTGACCAACAGGACAGATACACTGAGGGAGAGATACTGACCACCAGGACAGATACACCCAGGATACACTGAGGGAGAGATACTGACCAACAGGACAGATACACTGAGGGAGAGACACTGACCAACAGGACAGATACACTGAGGGAGAGATACTGACCAACAGGACAGATACACCCAGGATACACTGAGGGAGAGATACTGACCAACAGGACAGATACACTGAGGGAGAGATACTGACCAACAGGACAGATACACTGAGGGAGAGATACTGACCAACAGGACAGATACACTGAGGGAGAGATACTGACCAACAGGACAGATACACTGAGGGAGAGATACTGACCAACAGGACAGATACACTGAGGGAGAGATACTGACCAACAGGACAGATACACTGAGGGAGAGATACTGACCAACAGGACAGATACACTGAGGGAGAGATACTGACCAACAGGACAGATACACCCAGGATACACTGAGGGAGAGATACTGACCAACAGGACAGATACACTGAGGGAGAGATACTGACCAACAGGACAGATACACCCAGGATACACTGAGGGAGAGACACTGACCAACAGGACAGATACACCCAGGATACACTGAGGGAGAGACACTGACCAACAGGACAGATACACCCAGGATACACTGAGGGAGAGATACTGACCAACAGGACAGATACACTGAGGGAGAGATACTGACCAAGAGGACAGATACACTGAGGGAGAGACACTGACCAACAGGGCAGATACACTGAGGGAGAGATACTGACGAACAGGACAGAGACACTGAGGGAGAGATACTGACCAACAGGACAGAGACACCCAGGATACACTGAGGGAGAGATACTGACCAACAGGACAGATACACTGAGGGAGAGATACTGACCAACAGGACAGATACACTGAGGGAGAGACACTGACCAACAGGACAGATACACTGAGGGAGAGATACTGACGAACAGGACAGAGACACTGAGGGAGAGATACTGACCAACAGGACAGAGACACCCAGGATACACTGAGGGAGAGATACTGACCAACAGGACAGATACAGTGGGGGAAAAAAGTATTTAGTCAGCCACCAATTGTGCAAGTTCTCCCACTTAAAAAGATGAGAGAGGCCTGTAATTTTCATCATAGGTACACGTCAACTATGACAGACAAATTGAGAAAAAAAATCCAGAAAATCACATTGTAGGATTTTTTATGAATTTATTTGCAAAATATGGTGGAAAATAAGTATTTGGTCACCTACAAACAAGCAAGATTTCTGGCTCTCACAGACCTGTAACTTCTTCTTTAAGAGGCTCCTCTGTCCTCCACTCGTTACCTGTATTAATGGCACCTGTTTGAACTTGTTATCAGTATAAAAGACACCTGTCCACAACCTCAAACAGTCACACTCCAAACTCCACTATGGCCAAGACCAAAGAGCTGTCAAAGGACAACAGAAACAAAATTGTAGACCTGCACCAGGCTGGGAAGACTGAATTTGCAATAGGTAAGCAGCATGGTTTGAAGAAATCAACTGTGGGAGCAATTATTAGGAAATGGAAGACATACAAGACCACTGATAATCTCCCTCGATCTGGGGCTCCACGCAAGATCTCACCCCGTGGGGTCAAAATGATCACAAGAACAGTGAGCAAAAATCCCAGAACCACACGGGGGGACCTAGTGAATGACCTGCAGAGAGCTGGGACCAAAGTAACAAAGCCTACCATCAGTAACGCACTACGCCGCCAGGGACTCAAATCCTGCAGTGCCAGACGTGTCCCCCTGCTTAAGCCAGTACATGTCCAGGCCCGTCTGAAGTTTGCTAGAGTGCATTTGGATGATCCAGAAGAGGATTGGGAGAATGTCATATGGTCAGATGAAACCAAAATAGAACTTTTTGGTAAAAACTCAACTCGTCGTGTTTGGAGGACAAAGAATGCTGAGTTGCATCCAAAGAACACCATACCTACTGTGAAGCATGGGTGTGTAAACATCATGCTTTGGGGCTGTTTTTCTGCAAAGGGACATGTATCGTGAGAATTTGAGTGAAAACCTCCTTCCATAAGCAAGGGCATTGAAGATGAAACGTGGCTGGGTCTTTCAGCATGACAATGATCCCAAACACACCGCCCGGGCAACGAGTGGGTTCGTAAGAAGCATTTCAAGGTCCTGGAGTGGCCTAGCCAGACTCCAGATCTCAACCCCATAGAAAATCTTTGGAGGGAGTTGAAAGTCCGTGTTGCCCAGCGACAGCCCCAAAACATCACTGCTCTAGAGGAGATCTGCATGGAGGAATGGGCCAAAATACAAGCAACAGTGTGTGAAAACCTTGTGAAGACTTACAGAAAACGTTTGACCTGTGTCATTGCCAACAAAGGTTATATAACAAAGTATTGAGAAACTTTTGTTATTGACCAAATACTTATTTTCCACCATAATTTGCAAATAAATTCATAAAAAATCCTACAATGTGATTTTCTGGATTTTCTTTTCTCATTATGTCTGTCATAGTCAGGGGCGGTGTGTTCAATAGGGCGATATGGGCGACGCACTGCCAAACGGGAAAAGGAAGGGATTTTTTTTCTAATCAATTATATCACGGCAACAGTAGTTATCAGTGTTGTAATCTAGACGTCTGATCTGCCACAGTGCCACTAAATGTCCAATCAGGCTAAAGTCGTGCTTCAAATGGCCCCCCCCCCCTTTTGGGGCGATTTCAGTCAGGTTGAAAATCGCCCAGAAGTCTGTCATAGACTCCCATGTAAAATCTATTTTTTTCAAATATCAGAGCTTTCAATACAATCTCTATTGGTTTCTGAGGGCTTGCACTTACGCGCTTTCGTCATACGTAACATATAACCATGAACGTAACTAAGAAAAGAGCGGGTAGCAGCGTCAATCAATTCACTACTTCTATCAAAATGGCTAGGCTTCAGTGCAACTCGATTGTGTCTTTGAAAGAAGTTCCTTTTTGTCGGCGAACAAATGAAGATAAATTGGCAACGAAACAATTAGGACCTCCCAGACCAAATTTAATAATTCAACAGGTTTCTACTAAAGGGGGGAAGTCCTACACCCGAGGATTTTCCAAAAATTGGTACGAACGAAAAACCTGGCTAGCAGGCTGCGATGTAGCTAATGCAGTCTTCTGCTACCCCCTGCTTACTCTTTCACCCTGAAGGCGGCACGGCAGACAGCACCGCTTGGACAGCGACTGGTGTGTAACGGACATGCACCATCTTTCAGGAAAGATTAAGAAACATGAGCTGTCAAAGACCCACATGGATAGCTGTTTGAGATTGTCTGCTTTGGGGAGAGTGAACATTCCCACTCAACTGGATGAGGGATACAGGCTAGCTGTCCGCCGCCACAACGATGAGGTTAGTGTTGATAATCACAAGTTTACTGGAGAACTGAAACTGACAAGGCTGACAAGATAGGACCCTTTTGTCCATTGTTATTGGATAGGAACAGAACTTATAACCAGCTCCTGACCTAAATAGATCTTAGCACAACATTTTACTCAACATATCATATTCCATATTCACTATAACAAATATATTTACTACGACATTAGCAAGAACCGCCACATCCTCAGCCGGCTAATCCAGTGTGTGAAGTTTTGCGGAGTGTTTGAGTTAGCTTTGCGAGGCAAAGATGAAACTGAGGGCTCCACCAACCCTGGTAAGCCAACACTTTTGAGATCAGTCAATAAATGCTTCTGGTATTGACTTATATGCTGCCCCTGTCTTCATGTTGTTGCTGGACATATCTTTTTTAAAATGTGTGTAGGTCACCTAAATCATCAGAAAAATTGCCCCCCCTGAGAATTTTTTCAGGAGCCGCCACTGGTCATAGTTGATGTGTACCTATGATGAAAATTACAGGCCTCTCTCATCTTTTTAAGTGGGAGAACTTGCACAATTGGTGGCTGACTAAATACTTTTTTCCCCCACTGTACACTGAGGGAGAGATACTGACCAACAGGACAGATACACCCAGGATACACTGAGGGAGAGATACTGACCAACAGGACAGATACACTGAGGGAGAGATACTGACCAACAGGACAGATACACCCAGGATACACTGAGGGAGAGATACTGACCAACAGGACAGATACACCCAGGATACACTGAGGGAGAGATACTGACCAAGAGGACAGATACACTGAGGGAGAGATACTGACCAACAGGACAGATACACTGAGGGAGAGATACTGACCAACAGGACAGAGACACTGAGGGAGAGATATTGACCAACAGGACAGATACACTGAGGGAGAGATACTGACCAACAGGACAGATACACTGAGGGAGAGATACTGACCAACAGGACAGATACACCCAGGATACACTGAGGGAGAGATACTGACCAACAGGACAGATACACTGAGGGAGAGATACTGACCAACAGGACAGATACACTGAGGGAGAGATACTGACCAACAGGACAGATACACTGAGGGAGAGATACTGACCAACAGGACAGATACACTGAGGGAGAGATACTGACCAACAGGACAGATACACTGAGGGAGAGATACTGACCAACAGGACAGATACACCCAGGATACACTGAGGGAGAGACACTGACCAACAGGACAGATACACTGAGGGAGAGATACTGACCAACAGGACAGATACACTGAGGGAGAGATACTGACCAACAGGACAGATACACCCAGGATACACTGAGGGAGAGACACTGACCAACAGGACAGATACACTGAGGGAGAGATACTGACCAACAGGACAGATACACCCAGGATACACTGAGGGAGAGATACTGACCAACAGGACAGATACACCCAGGATACACTGAGGGAGAGATACTGACCAAGAGGACAGATACACTGAGGGAGAGATACTGACCACCAGGACAGATACACCCAGGATACACTGAGGGAGAGATACTGACCAACAGGACAGATACACTGAGGGAGAGATACTGACCAACAGGACAGATACACCCAGGATACACTGAGGGAGAGACACTAACAGATACTATACTACCAGTCAAAATATTTAGAACACCTACTCATTCAAGGGTTTTTCTTTATTTTTACTATTTTCTACATTTACATTTACATTTAAGTCATTTATCAGACGCTCTTATCCAGAGCGACTTACAGTTAGTGAGTTCATACATTTTTCATACTTCTACATTCTAGAATAATAGTGAAGACATCAAAACTATGAAATAACACATATGGAATCATGTAGTAACCGAAAAAGTGTTAAAACAAATCAAAACATATTTATTATTTGAGATTCTTCAAATAGCCACCATTTGCTTTGATGACAGCTTTGCACAGTCTTGGCATTCTCTCCACCAGCTTCACCTGGAATGCTTTTCCAACAGTCTTGAAGGAGTTCCCACATATGCTGAGCATTTGTTGGCTGCTTTTCCTTCACTCTGCGGTCCGACTCATCCCAAACCATCTCAATTTGGTTGAGGTCGGGGGATTGTAGAGGCCAGGTCATCTGATGCAGCACTCCATCACTCTCCTTCTTGGTAAAATAGCCCTTACACAGCCTGGAGGTGTGTTGGGTCATTGTCCTGTTGAAGAACAAATGATAGTCTCACTAAGCCCAAACCAGATGGGATGGCGTATCGCTGCAGAATGCTGTGGTATCCATGCTGGTTAAGTGTGCCTTGAATTTTAAATAAATCACAGACAGTGTCACCAGCAAAGCACCCCCACACCATAACACCTCCTCCTCCATTCTTTGCGGTGGGAAATAGACATGCAGAGATCATCCGTTCACCCACACCGTGTCTCACAAAGACATGGCGGTTGGAACCAAAAATCTCCAATTTGGACTCCAGACCAAAGGACAAACATTTTCATGTTTCTTGGCCCAAGCAAGTCTCTTCTTCTTCTTCTTCTTATTGGTGTCCTTTAGTAGTGGTTTCTTTGCAGCAATTCCATGAAGGCCTGATTCCTACAGTCTCCTCAACAGTTGATGTTGAGAAGTGTCTGTTACTTGAACTCTGTGAAGCATTTGTTTGGGCTGCAATTTCTGAGGCTGGTAACTAATGAACTTATCCTCTGCAGCAGAGGTAACTCTGGGTCTTCCATTCCTGTGGCGGTCCTCATGAGAGCCAGTTTCATCATAGCAGTTGATGGTTTTGCGACTGCACTTGAAGAAACTTTCAAAGTTCTTGAAATGTTCAGTATTGACTGACCTTCATGTCTTAAAGTAATGATGGACTGTTGTTTCTCTTTGCTTATTTGAGCTGTTCTTGCCATAATATGGACTTGGTCTTTTACCAAATAGGGCTATCTTCAGTATACCCCCCTACCTTGTCACAACACAACAGATTGGCTCAAATGCATTAAGAAGGATTAGAACTCATGAAGCTGGTTGAGAGAATGCCAAGAGTGTGCAAAGCTGTCATCAAGGCAAAGGATGGCTATTTGAAGAATCTCAAATATAAAATATATTTTGATTTGTTTAACACTTTTCTGGTTACTACATGATTCCATATGTGTTATTTCATAGTTTTGATGTCTTCACTATTATTCTACAATGTAGAAAATAGTACAAATAAAGAAAAACCCTTGAACGAGGAGGTGTTCTAAAGCTTTAGACCGGTAGTGTATATTAAAACTATTCTACTAGGAGCGTGTATTAGAACTATATTAAAACTATATTAGAACTACAATACTCAGAGTGTATATTAGAACTGGTTTCTGTCGTTGTGGTTTCTGTCGTCATGTAGTCTTCCTGTTCCTCACCTTGTTGGCAAGGCGTGGGATCTTGAGCGTGACCACGAAGGAGAACTCAGAAGGGAAGTGGTCACAGTTGGTGAAGAGCTGCGAGGCGGGGAAGCTGAGGGCCTCCTGAGAGCCGGCTAGCTGCAAGCCCCGGGCCCCCCTGGACTGGACCATGTGCACTTCACGCAGGGGGGGCTCCCCGCCAGGTGGTAAGACCCGTGACAGGAAGTCCAGAGGTAACAGATCTACAGGTCGGAGGGAGGGAGGGAGGGAGGGAGGAAGGAAGGAAGGAAGGAAGGAAGGAAGGAAGGAAGGAAGGAAGGAAGGAAGGAAGGAAGGAATGCAACATAACAAACATATTTCCATTTAGATTGCTATCTCTAAAGGGATACAGGTTAGACATAAACAGTGTAAATTCAGAAGGTGAAAACGCATTTAATCAGATCTCTCTGCTGGACTACATACTGTATCATATCTCTCTGCTGGACTACATACTGTATCATATCTCTCTGCTGGACTACATACTGCATCATATCTCTCTGCTGGACTACATACTGCATCATATCTCTCTGCTGGACTACATACTGTATCAGATCTCTCTGCTGGACTACATACTGTATCATATCTCTCTGCTGGACTACATACTGCATCAGATCTCTCTGCTGGACTACATACTGTATCATATCTATCTGCTGGACTACATACTGTATCAGATCTCTCTGCTGGACTACATACTGCATCAGATCTCTCTGCTGGACTACATACTGTATCATATCTCTCTGCTGGACTACATACTGTATCAGATCTCTCTGCTGGACTACATACTGTATCAGATCTCTCTGCTGGACTACATACTGCATCAGATCTCTCTGCTGGACTACATACTGCATCAGATCTCTCTGCTGGACTACATACTGTATCAGATCTCTCTGCTGGACTACATACTGCATCAGATCTCTCTGCTGGACTACATACTGTATCAGATCTCTCTGCTGGACTACATACTGTATCAGATCTCTCTGCTGGACTACATACTGTATCAGATCTCTCTGCTGGACTACATACTGCATCAGATCTCTCTGCTGGACTACATACTGCATCAGATCTCTCTGCTGGACTACATACTGTATCAGATCTCTCTGCTGGACTACATACTGCATCAGATCTATCTGCTGGACTACATACTGTATCAGATCTCTCTGCTGGACTACATACTGCATCAGATCTATCTGCTGGACTACATACTGTATCATATCTCTCTGCTGGACTACATACTGCATCAGATCTCTCTGCTGGACTACATACTGCATCAGATCTCTCTGCTGGACTACATACTGCATCATATCTCTCTGCTGGACTACATACTGTATCAGATCTCTCTGCTGGACTACATACTGTATCAGATCTCTCTGCTGGACTACATACTGTATCAGATCTCTCTGCTGGACTACATACTGTATCAGATCTCTCTGCTGGACTACATACTGCATCAGATCTCTCTGCTGGACTACATACTGTATCAGATCTCTCTGCTGGACTACATACTGCATCAGATCTCTCTGCTGGACTACATACTGTATCAGATCTCTCTGCTGGACTACATACTGTATCAGATCTCTCTGCTGGACTACATACTGTATCAGATCTCTCTGCTGGACTACATACTGTATCAGATCTCTCTGCTGGACTACATACTGTATCAGATCTCTCTGCTGGACTACATACTGTATCAGATCTATCTACTGGACTACATACTGTATCAGATCTATCTGCTGGACTACATACTGTATCATATCTCTCTGCTGGACTACATACTGTATCAGATCTCTCTGCTGGACTACATACTGTATCAGATCTATCTGCTGGACTACATACTGTATCAGATCTCTCTGCTGGACTACATACTGTATCATATCTATCTGCTGGACTACATACTGTATCATATCTCTCTGCTGGACTACATACTGTATCAGATCTATCTGCTGGACTACATACTGTATCATATCTCTCTGCTGGACTACATACTGTATCAGATCTCTCTGCTGGACTACATACTGTATCAGATCTCTCTGCTGGACTACATACTGTATCAGATCTCTCTGCTGGACTACATACTGTATCAGATCTCTCTGCTGGACTACATACTGTATCAGATCTATCTGCTGGACTACATACTGTATCAGATCTCTCTGCTGGACTACATACTGTATCAGATCTATCTGCTGGACTACATACTGTATCAGATCTATCTGCTGGACTACATACTGTATCATATCTCTCTGCTGGACTACATATTGTATCAGATCTATCTGCTGGACTACATACTGTATCATATCTCTCTGCTGGACTACATACTGTATCAGATCTCTCTGCTGGACTACATACTGTATCAGATCTCTCTGCTGGACTACATACTGTATCAGATCTCTCTGCTGGACTACATACTGTATCAGATCTCTCTGCTGGACTACATACTGTATCAGATCTCTCTGCTGGACTACATACTGTATCAGATCTCTCTGCTGGACTACATACTGTATCAGATCTCTCTGCTGGACTACATACTGTATCAGATCTCTCTGCTGGACTCCATACTGTATACACTCTGTGGCATCACGGTCTCATGAGCCTTGAGTAGTTTGGTTAACTACATTTACATATTACAGAAAATCACTATATCATTGTTAACAGCTTGTGTGACAGTGAGCGGTCCAGAATGTGGTTCATTTACATTTTACATTTTACATTATTTAGCAGACGCTCTTCTCCAGAGCGACTTACAGTTAGTGCATACATTATTCTTTTTATTTTTTTCATACTGGCCCCCGTGGGAGTGGGAGTGTTGTATCAGCCCATAAATGCAAATCAGTCAGCATGCATTAAGAGATGGGCGAGACAGGGGCAGATCAGAGGATCTATAAAGATAATCTACCAAAACAAACACTCATATCAGAGATAGAGAAGACAGGCAAACTTTGGTTTTAAATAAGTGTGCTGAAGTGACCGCAATTATATAGAGTATTGTCCTAGGTTGAGAGGAGTCATCAGGTTCAGTTCCTGTTTGTTTTACCTCAGTGAGCCAAAGGAGGAATTATTAGAGAGAGAGAGAGAGAGAGAGAGAGAGAGAGAGAGAGAGAGAGAGAGAGAGAGAGAGAGAGAGAAACGAGAGAGATAGAGATATGCAAGCAATCTGGCGCTCTCTCTCTTCTATCTCTCGTTCTTCTCTCGTCGCCTCTCTCGTCTCTTCTCTCTCTCGCTCCTCTCACTCTCTTCTCCTCCTCCCTCTCTCTTCTCTCTCCTCTCTCTCTCTTAGTTCTCTCTCTCCTCTCCATACTGGCGCCTCTCGATTCTCCCATTTATGTACCCTGATAGTACAGACACACTGATAGTCAGACCATGATAGTACAGACACACTGATAGTACAGACACACTGATAGTACAGACACACTGATAGTACAGACACACTGATAGTACAGACACTGATAGTACAGACACTCATAGTACAGACACACTGATAGTAGAGACACTGATAGTACAGACACTCATAGTACAGACACACTGACAGTACAGACACTGATAGTACAGACACTGATAGTACAGACACACTGATAGTACAGACACTGATAGTACAGACACTGATAGTACAGACACTGATAGTACAGACACACTGATAGTACAGGCACACTGATAGTACAGACACACTGATAGTACAGACACACTGATAGTACAGACACACTGATAGTACAGACACTGATAGTACAGACACACTGATAGTACAGACACTGATAGTACAGACACACTGATAGTACAGACACTGATAGTACAGACACTGATAGTACAGACACACTGATAGTACAGCCACTGATAGTACAGACACACTGATAGTACAGACACACTGATAGTACAGACACTGATAGTACAGACACACTGATAGTACAGACACTGATAGTACACACACACTGATAGTACAGACACTGATAGTACAGACACTGATAGTACAGACACACTGATAGTACAGACACTGATAGTACAGACACACTGATAGTACAGACACACTGATAGTACAGACATTGATAGTACAGACACTGATAGTACAGACACACTGATAGTACAGACACACTGATAGTACAGACACACTGATAGTACAGACACACTGATAGTACAGACACTGATAGTACAGGATGGTTACTGCACCATTTTTAAGGAAGATAGATAGCAGCATCTGGCTGACATCTAATCTAATCAGAGCCATGTTATCTCGTGGGGGGGGGGGGGGGGGGGGCATAGCCTGGTTATGTAGAGCATCCAACAACAATGCAGTACCCTGTTCACCCTAACCCAGACACACTATAGGCTTGTCTATGCTGAGTTTTCTTACAAACCCTAAAGCTGTGGTCTGTGTGCTGCTGACTGAGGAAATGCTGCAGGGCTTCTCTTTCCTGTCATGATCTTCATATAACTGGAATATCCACAGGAGCATTGTTACGCCAGTAGCCTACTGTCATTAAATCAACTCTTATCTGAAGTGATACAGTTCTATCTCAACTTGCCTTTAAAGGTCATTGTATAATGCTAGATGTACTGGAGCCTCTGCTTCTGATGATCGGGAACACTACCCAGATCATAATAATCACACAGCTCTGTTATGACACAGGTATTATTGAGAGGTTTATTATCATTAAAGACCAGTGAGTAGAATCTTTACATGAGAAGTGCACGTCATGACTTGTTGAAGCCCAATTTGACCTCATTCTTCTCTCAATTAGCAGCTACAGTATGTGAGCTTAGAGAAGACTGACGTCGTGGTTTTACTCTTCTGACAGAATCTCTGTGCCTGAAACGTTAAGCTACTCTTGCTATTCATAAGTCTGTTTCAAACATGCCATCACTTCTATGTTTTAGAGATTTGTTGCATATAATGATCTCATAATAATAATAATTCAGCATATTATTCATACCTATTAGTGAGTAAATGTGTAGTGATTATAGAGACGTACCTGTGCATGGTCTCCATCCCCCAGCAGCCTGTCCCCCAACCGTCCCAGAGCAGAGGAGGGACATACAGACACAGACCAGCAGCAGCAGTTCAGACGTCATGGCTCCTTCTCTCTCTCTGCCCATTCACAGGGGGCCTGGATGATCCTGATCCAAACTGACCCTCATGTCCCCACAGGTCCCAGGCCAAGTCTTCCTTAGAACAGCTTCCTATTACCCCACAGGTCCCAGGTCCAAGTCTTCCTTATAGCAGTCCCAGGTCCAAGTCTTCCTTATAGCAGTCCCAGGTCCAAGCCTTCCTTAGGGCAGTCCCAGGTCCAAGTCTTCCTTAGCAGTCCAGGTCCAAGTCTTCCTTATAGCAGTCCCAGGTC